TAGGTTAAAAAGCAGAAGCCGTCAGCAGCGTGAGCAGACGACAGAGACACATGGCGCAGGGTGGCGGGTGGATGCAGCAGTATTCGAAAGCCAAACACAGGCCTCGGTTTAAAAAGCGGAAGCCGTCAGCAGCGTGAGCAGACGACAGAGACACATGGCGCAGGTGGCGGTGGATGCAGCAGTATTCGGAAGCCAAACACAGGCCTTGGTTAAAAAGCGGAAGCCGTTCAGCAGCGTGAGCAGACGACAGAGGCACATGGCGCAGGGTGGCGGTGGAGGCAGCAGCAATGGAAGGCCATACCAGCACCCTATCACAAAATGGAACCCACCAACAGTGTAAAGAGACCTGAAAGAGGCACATGGCGCAGGGGTGGGGGGAGGCAGCAGTATTCGGAAGCCATACACAGGCCTAGGTTTAAAAAGCGGAAGCCGTCAGCAGCGTGAGCAGACGACAGAGATACATGGCGCAGGGTGGCGGGGGATGCCAGCAGTATTCGGAAGCCAAACACAGGCTTTGGTTAAAAAGCGGAAGCCGTCAGCAGCGTGAGCAGACGACAGACGACAGAGGCACATGGCGCAGGGTGGCGGTGGAGGCAGCAGCAATGGAAGGCCAACAGCACCCTATCACAAAATGGAACCCACCAACAGTGTAAGAGACCTGAAAGTGGCACATGGCGCAGGGTGGCGATGGAGGCAGCAGTATTTGGAAGACATACACAGGACTAGTTTAAAAAGCGGAAGCCGTCAGCAGCGTGAGCAGACGACAGAGGCACATGGCGCAGGGTGGCGGTGGAGGCAGCAGTTTTCGGAAGCCATACACAGGCCTAGGTTAAAAAGCGGAAGCCGTCAGCAGCGTGAGCAGACGACAGAGACACATGGCGCAGGGTGGCGGTGGATGCAGCAGTATTCGGAAGCCAAACACAGGCCTTGGTTAAAAAGCGGAAGCCGTCAGCAGCGTGAGCAGACGACAGAGGCACATGGCGCAGGGTGGCGGTGGAGGCAGCAGCAATGGAAGGCCATACAGCACCCTATCACAAAATGGAACCCACCAACAGTGTAAAAGAGACCTGAAAGTGGCACATGGCGCAGGTGGCGGTGGAGGCAGCAGTATTCGGAAGACATACACAGGACTAGTTTAAAAAGCGGAAGCCGTCAGCAGCGTGAGCAGACGACAGAGGCACATGGCGCAGGGTGGCGGTGGAGGCAGCAGTATTCGGAAGCCATACACAGGCCTGGGTTTAAAAAGCGGAAGCCGTCAGCCAGCGTGAGCAGACGACAGAGACACATGGCGCAGGGTGGCGGTGGAGGCAGCAGCAATGGAAGGCCATACAGCATCCTATCACAAAATGGAACCCACCAACAGTGTAAGGAGACCTGAAAGTGGCACATGGCGCAGGGTGGCGGTGGAGGCAGCAGTATTTGGAAGCCATACACAGGCCTAGGTTAAAAAGCGGAAGCCGTCAGCAGCGTGAGCAGACGACAGAGACACATGGCGCAGGGTGGCGGTGGATGCAGCAGTATTCGGAAGCCAAACACAGGCCTCGGTTAAAAAGCGGAAGCCGTCAGCAGCGTGTGAGCAGACGACAGAGGCACATGGCGCAGGGTGGCGGTGGGAGGCAGCAGTATTCGGAAGCCATACACAGGCCTAGGTTAAAAAGCGGAAGCCGTCAGCAGCGTGAGCAGACGACAGAGACACATGGCACAAGGTGGCGGTGGATGCAGCAGTATTCGAAGCCAAACACAGGCCTCCGTTAAAAAGCGAAGCCGTCAGCAGCGTGAGCAGACGACAGAGGCACATGGCGCAGGGTGGCGGTGGAGGCAGCAGCAATGGAAGGCCATACAGCACCCTATCACAAAATGGAACCCACCAACAGTGTAAGGAGACCTGAAAGTGGCACATGGCAGAGTCTGGCGATGAAGTCAGCAGCAATGGGAGGCCGTACAGGGACCCATGACACACTCTGGACCTGGCAGCAGCAAGAGGAGGCGGTACAGGGGCCCATGGCAGAGTGGCGAAGCGTAAGCACTTAAATTGAAGGCCATACAGAGGTCTATTTAAAAATAATAACATGTTTAGGGGCATGATTCATGGCGGATTTAGTCAGTTGTGTCAGAACTGGTGGTTTGAAAATCCAGACTAATCCACCGCCTGATTCACTTTCACAAACGTGAGTCTCTCCACACTTTGGGTGGACAGTCGTGTCCTCCGCGGAGTTACAAATACCTCCTGCCGCACTAAACACGCGCATCCCGATGCCCACGCTACTGGCCGGGCATGACAGCCTTTCAAGGGCAAATTCAGCTAGTTGGGGCCAAAGGTCAAGTTTCGTTGCCCAGTAGTCAAGGGGATTGTCTACCGACGGTTGGCAGGGTGCTGTCCAAGTAGGCCCGAGCCTGTTGTTTGAGGTCCTGCTCCAGGTCCACCTGATGCTGCTGCTGCTGAGGCGGCTGGTTAGGTAGTTTCCTCACTGCGCTGGTGAAGAAAGCTACTCATCATCGACTGCAGACTGAGGCAGCCGCTGCTGGTGGAGCTGCCACTGCTCCTACCACCCCACCCCTCCCCTGCTGCCATGGCAGCGGAATGCGAGCGCACAGGGCCCACAGTGTCCCTGAGGATGGACGTTGGCGCAGAAAGGCAGAGACCAACTGACTACATAGGTGATTTTTATAGTACTTTATTTTGGCCTCCCTCTCAGCAGGTGTGAAAAAGGCCACCATTTTTGAACGGTAGCGAGGGTCCAACAAGGTGGACAGCCAAAAGTCATCCCTCTGTCTGATGGTTATTATTCGGCTGTCGCAACGCAAGCAACCGAGCATGCTATGGGCCATTTGTGCCAAGGAATGCGAGGGACTCCCTGCCTCCATCTCAACAGCATACTGCCACGGTGCGTCTGGGTCCTTCTGTCTCCTCCTCCTCCTCTACCAGATGCTCCTGCTCCTCCACTCCTGTCCGCTGAGTGGAAAAACCACCCATTTCACTCAATAATTCCTGAGCACCAATGTCCTCCTCTACCTCCTCCTCTTCTTCCCTGTCCTGCCCCCACAGGGGGTCATGTGGCGTTGAGATCTGTGCGCCACGTCTACCGCACCCTGACCAGCCATTGTTAACAGCATTTGTTCCAGGACGTGCAACAGAGGAATGACGTCGTTCATCCCATAGTCCTGCCGACTCACGAATAGCGTGGCCCTCCTCAAAGGGCCTGAGCAAGCGGCAGGTGTCACGCCATGAGCTGCCAATGGCTGACATCTAAGTTTACACAGGGAGTACCTTTTATCCGCTTGTAACATCAGGAAATCGGGTGATGGCCTTTCGCTGTTCGTAAAGGCGGTCTAACATATGTAGGGATGAATTCCACCTTGGTTGCAACACGTCGCAGATCAGGTGATGCTGTGGAATTCCGTTCTGCCGCTGCAGCTCAAGGAGGGTGTGCTTTGCGGTGTAGGAATGGCTGAAATGCATGCAAAGTTACGTGACATTTTAAGGATGTCTTGCAGTGGGATGGTGGATTTTAGGAACCGCTTGACAACCAGATTGAACACGTGAGCCATGCATGGTGCATGGCACAAACCTTCCTTGACGCAGAGCAGACACCATGTTCTTTCCGTTGTCGGTCAACATGGTTCCGATTTTCAGTTTGCGCGGAGACAGCCATCTGTCGATTTCTCTGTTCATTACACTCAGAAGTTCCTCCCCTGTGTGACTACGTTCGCCAAGGCATACCAGGTGCAGCACAGCGTGACACCGTTTGCGTCCCTGCACATGTGATATGCCGGTCGGTAATGGGACTTGGCACGGGGGTGGCGGCTGAGGACACGGCGGAAGAAGAGGTGTAGAGGCGGACATCTTTGCTGGACCAAGGACGTGCAAACGTGGAGGCAAAAGCGGCGTGACCTGTCCAAGTTGCTGGTGCGGCTTTGCCGGCACCACGTTCACCCAGTGGGCCGTAAATGACATATGTACTGTTCCCTGACCGTAGTTACAGCTCCACACGTCGGCGCGCTGCCGTGCACTTTGGCAGAGACCGACATGCTCAAAGACTGGGCACCAACCATCTCTTCTACATGTGAATGCAGGGCTGGCACTGCCTTTTTGGCGAAAGAAATGCCGGCTTGGCACTCTCCACCGCGCGGGCTTCGCACAAGCCATCATTTCTCGGGAAAGGTGCTGAGTCCACCACTTGGAAATGGGAGGGGACTGCGCACACCAGCAACTTGGACAGGAGGACGTTCAGCTTCTGCACCATCGGGTGCGTGCTCGCTAAACTGTTGTCTCTTGGAAACGGATTCCAAGAAAGACTGCTGACGGAATCCGTGAAGAGGAGTAGCAGGAGAAGGAGCATCTGAACGAGCGGAAGATGCCAACGAGCGACAACTCCCCTCAGCAGAGGTGTGGAGCCTTGACTGGCTGATAGAGGGCGATTGACGTCGGGTGACGGAGCAAGTAACGGAGCCGGGGTGATGGAGCGGGGGCTGGGGCAGGCAGAACAAACCGCCGTATCTTTATCACGGTTTTCCCAGGCCACCGAATGGCGACACTGCATATGCTGACGCAACGCTGTAGTCCCAACATTGGGGGCCCCCTGGCCACGCTTGACTTTTCTGGCCACATAGTCGACATACGGCTACGTTTACTTCCTCGGGCGCTTGACGAAAAATTGCCACAGCCGCCGAGTAGGAAAACTTTGCCCCCGCTACTCCTCACTGGCTGACTGCTACTTCCTCCGTGCACACCGGCACCACTACTTACTGGCCGTGGTGGTAGGCTGCAGTGGAGCTGGTGCTCTACTCCGTGGCCGTTTGCTCCACTGACACTGCTGCGACTCCCCTGCTGCCACCTGGGCAACCCACCGACTGTTTTGCTCGCTGCCAAGCTGCCACCCTCTTCTCCTGATGATGCGGAAGCAATAGCCTGATGACGACGAGGCTCCCAAGTGCGATCAGCCTCATCATCATCAATTAGGGTCTCCGCGCGTCACTACTAGCCCCCTCGGCTGCGTGTGGGGTCAGAGACAGACCTGTCTCTAGACCGGCTACCGAGCCACTCTCCTCGCCATACTTCTTCGCCTGGTTGCTGAAGAGGCGGATGTCTCCCCCCGTTCCTGACCGCCCTCTGTTAGCTCTTCCTCACTGTACAGTGGGGCTGAGCCCACAGCATCCGATACTTCGCTTGGTGAGGGAACACCAAAGGACAGGGCAGGTAGAGGACACGTGATTTCAGTGGGCTTGCTCCCGGGCCATGCCAACTAACGGTTGTGTCTGACGTACCCACCGACCGTTGGCTGTAGGTGTCAGAGGTGACCTGGGAAGAGGAAGACGACCGAGTCAACCAATCGATGACGGCAGGGTTGTCGGTGGAGACACGACCGCTGGATGACACCAGGAGCACTGGCCTCTGGCTGCGACTAGTGCTGCCTCGACCCCTTCCTCTGCTGCCACGTCTGCTCGCTCCTGAAACATTGCCTCCTCTGCCACTCCTCTGCGTGTTGTCTGACATACTCTTTAATTTCAATAGTGGTTGTGAAGCAGAAAGTAACGATTTCTGTGTCCCTGAGTAACAATTCTGTGTCCCCGAGTAACGATTCTGTGTCCCCGAGTAACGATTCTGTGTCCCTGAGTAACGATTCTGTGTCCCTCAGTAACGATTCTGTGTCCCCGAGTAACGATTCTGTGTCCCCGAGTAACGATTCTGTGTCCCCGAGTAACGATTCTGTGTCCCTGAGTAACGATTCTGTGTCCCTCAGTAACGATTCTGTGTCCCGAGTAACAATTCTGTGTCCCTGAGTAACGATTCTGTGTCCCTGAGTAACGATTCTGTGTCCCTGAGTAACAATTCTGTGTCCCTCAGTAACTGTGTCAATTCTGTGTCCCTCAGTAACGATTCTGTGTCCCTCAGTAACGATTCTGTGTCCCTGAGTAACAATTTTGTGTCCCTGAGTAACGATTCTGTGTCCCTGAGTAACGATTCTGTGTCCCTCAGTAACAATTCTGTGTCCCTGAGTAACAATTCTGTGTCTCTGAGTAACAATTCTGTGTCCCTCAGTAACGATTCTGTGTCCCTCAGTAACAATTCTGTGTCCCTGAGTAACAATTCTATGTCCCTGAGTAACAATTCTGTGTCCCTCAGTAACGATTCTGTGTCCCTCAGTAACGATTCTGTGTCCCTCAGTAATGATTCTGTGTCCCTGAGTAACAATTCTGTGTCCCTGAGTAACAATTCTGTGTCCCTGAGTAACGATTCTGTGTCCCTGAGTAACAATTCTGTGTCCCTGAGTAACGATTCTGTGTCCCTGAGTAACGATTCTGTGTCCCTGAGTAACAACTCTGTGTCTGTCCCTGAGTAACGATTCTGTGTCCCTGAGTAACAATTCTGTGTCCCTGAGTAACAATTCTGTGTCCCTGAGTAACGATTCTGTGTCCCTGAGTAACGATTCTGTGGCCCTAAAGTCTCTGTGGCCCTAACTCTGTCCCTAATACAGACAGGTCTGTCTCTCTTGAATGACCGGAGGCTAATGGAGAATTCTAAGATGTCCGCGATTTATAGCTCCACCATTACACAGTGCTGGCTGGCTGGCTGCTGATTGGCTAATGCGATCACATGTCATGAATGAATGCATTATGGGTCAGCGCGCCTTGTCTGCGCGCCTTCCCAGAGATCCCCGCTCCGTCGCCACACATGTCGCCGCCATTTTTGGGAAAATTCGATTCGTGCATCCGAAGTTTGCTAATTTTCGGATTCGGCGCGAATCGAATTTTTCCTAATCTTCGAAACGAATTCCACTTCGTCATGTTCGATTCGCTCATCTCTAGTAACAAGGTTACATCAGTGATTCAGAAGGTCCACCCACAGGCAATATTGCTTTTGTATATAGGTTCTTATTTTCACAGGATGCCTCTTAGGGCCATGCCTGTGGACTTTGGGCTTGTGTTAATGGCATCAGTTTGAGAGCCGTTTGAAAACATTCAGAATTCACTGACAGGTACATTTGACCTGCAGTAGATCTTCTTCTGACCATCTTGAAATGTAAAGGGCTTCTCTAATCAGGGTGGCAGTGCCACAAAACAAAAGAAATTGTCACAGACATCCTTTAAACACACTGGGAAAAGGCTGCCTGGGGGGAATTAGAGATAGCCCAAATGAGTTCAACCTCTACTGCTTAACAACTTGCTGCCTGTTCACAGCAGATTTCCTGTGGCCAAGGGCAACTGCAGACTCAGCAGAGTAAAGAAATTTTGCAAGCTTGCTTCCGGGTTTGGGACACGTATGCGCACACCCCCTGCTAACCTGCACTGTGGTGACAGAGTGGGATTTTGTCAGCAGGACTGGTCAATGAATTATGGCCAAGACCTGCTGATCAGCTGTATCCAATCACAGCACAGAGTTCTGTGTTTACAAACACACAGGACTTACACAGTACAGCATTCTGGCTGTTTCTTCTCTTTGCAAAGCAGGGAGAAAAAACAGCCAGATCTCTTAGTAAAAGCAGCATATATTACACAAATAACACTTGTTAGGCACACAGTTGATTGCCCCTAGATGGTAACCCCTTTATATCTGATCACTGTATTAGTGTTACTATTGATGTCAGTTATTGTACCTCCCAGCGAGGGTCTGTTAGCGCCAGGTTATCACAGTCCCACTATATGTTGCTGATCGCCGCCATTACAATAAGTGATTTTTCTCCTTCAGTGATGTCTGCTGATGAGGAGGCACTGATAGGTGGCATTGATGAGAGCCACTGATGGGCACTGATAGGAGGCACTGATAGGCATTGATAGCTAGCACTGAAAGCCAGCACAGATGGGCACTAATAGGCACTATTGGTTGCACTGATGGGGTTACACTGATCATCAAGGCACTGATGGTCAGTGCCCTGATGATCACTGTAGATGTCCCCCTGAGAAATGCCTCTTACCGACTCTCCTTTCCTCATGCGCTGTCAGCATGAGGAGGAGACTGCCAATAATCGGCATTTCCTGTTTACATGTGATCAGCTGTGATTGTACACAGCTGGTCACATGTAAAAGGTGGCTCTGATTGGCCCTCTATTTGGACATGTTATCAGTTGTGTCCAAGGGATACAGCGATCACAGGGGGAGAGCAGGGGGTGTGGTTCTGAGAGGACATTCATGAACACCTTCCCAGAACTAGCCGACTGCGCTGTAGCCATCTTTTGGCTATAGCGTGGTCGGAAAGTAGTTAATTAACAGCTTTTAATTTCCTGCTGAACCAGCTGATTTTCAATTCGTCCATTGCTGGCCTTAGTGCTCTCCAAATACAGAGCTTAGGAAAGTCATTTTCTTCTTACGCTTCAAAAGACTGGAAAAACATCCACTGAATTAGCTGAAGTAAAATTGTATTGGATTCAACTTCTGTGTCTTAGCTACCTGTGGATGGTGCCAACTCAGCAGGTGACCATGCTGCCAAGACAGATTGGGTCTAAGGAGGTATGTCAAGGAATAAAGCAGCATTTGAAACAAAGCGGCCATTTTAAATCTGTCACAAAAACAATATAAATTGTGCCTAGGTCTTCTCAGCAAAATATTTCAATATAAATCACTGATGTTCAGAACAGGTAGTCTACACTGCTTAGAACCAATGCAGTGTTTTTCTCCTTCATCCTTCCTTGTGTCCAGTAAAATGATGTGAAAATGGGGCAAGCTTAATATTAGGGACAGACAATACAATCTAAGAGGCAACAATATGTATCTGATCTTTTTATGCAACTATTTATTGAATATGTAGTATCTGCAATAACTTTATCTAGTGGAAAAAGTTTTGTTTTTCAGAGAAGTACATTATTTCAGTTTATCATTATTCTGAACCAAATTTGAGAAGATACAAAAAAAATGGTTGAAAAATGGAGCCGTTTATTCACATTTTGACCAAATAAGTAATATATAGTATACTATAATTTTGTTACAAAAAGTCACAGCCTGTGAGAGAAAGATATCATGAATGGCTTCTGGCACTGATTTTTTTAATGGAAGTTCAACTTGAAAAGCTCTCCCTTTTTTTTCCATTTTCGCAAGTTGCAAAGAAAAGACCCTGTCAGGAAAACTCATGGAGCAGCAGCAACTCCAGCAGCTGTGCTTTCAGATAAAATGGTTTATCCGCTTTACTGAATTAAGTCATTTAAGAATATTTGGATATTAATTTTTTTGCTGTTGGTCTGTAACATATCACACATTTAAATGAACATATGTGCCCAAGCCACATACTGTATATGCTGCTGCATGTAAGCTAACTATACATAAATAACTTTCCTATTAAGGAGTATTTTATATTACATTAGACTTACTTTTTGAGTATAGTAAAAGGTAACCAGATAGCTACCCTCTGATCAGCAGGATAAACGTTATACAGGTCCAAATGTATTTAAAAAAATGTGTAAGATTGCAGGTAGGAATTTCAGAAGCAATCACACCCCCACACACCAGTTGTTCTAGGCACAGTGTCCCTGGTTAGAATCCTAGTCCTGCCAAATTATATTTCACTTTCTCCAAGATACATTTTCCAAAAATTTTAATCCCTAAAAGATATGCAAGCAGGGAAGGAAGACATACAGAAGTTGATTTATTAAAGGCAAACAGACTGTGCACTTTGGAATTGCAGTTGCTCCAGAGCTTAGTAAATGAGATAAAGCTTCACTTTGCAAAGAGTACCCAATCGCATTGAAGGAAAATGAAAAAAAAAGCATTTTTGCCTACACATGATTGGATGATGGAAGTCAGCAGCGCATCCCCTCATTTACTAAGCCCTGGAGCAACTGCACTTGCAGAGTGCAACTGCACTTTCAAAGTACAGAGTCTTTGCCTTTAGTAAATCAACCCCATGTAGGATGTTAAAGACTCCAGCCACTTTATTATTAATATTATTATTTTAGTTTTAAAAAGATTAAAGTGAACCTGAAATCAAAAAAGTGAAGATTTGCCATTTTATAGTAAAACATAGAAATAATAATTGTGCCTAAGTAGTATCTTGAAATATTTATATTTTGTACTGAATTCCTACTGAAAAATAGCGGTGTACATCCTGACACATGACTAGGTCTGGGAGCTCTTGCACTCACAGCCTTATAGCTGTATATCTGCTGTGTGATCTGTGGCTCTGCTGCCTCTGACTACTAGTCTAATGAAACTTGGCACACAGTGGCTTAGTGGTTAGCACGTCTGCCTTGCAGTAAATGGGTCATGGGTTTTATTTCTGACCATGGTACCTCCTGCATGGAGTTTGCATGTTCTCCCTGTGCTTGCGTGGGTTTCCTGCAGGTGCTCCGATTTCCTTCCACACTCCAAAGACATGCTGGTAGGTTAATTGGATCCTGTCTAAATTGGCCCTAATATGTGTATGTATGCATGTGAGTTAGAGACCTTAGATTGTACAGCCCTTGAGGGTTAGGGACTGATGTGAAAGTACAATATATATGTAAAGCGCTGCGTGAATTGACAGCGCTATATAAGTACCTGAAATAATTAAATAAACTTAGAGAAAAGTTTTAAAAGCAAAGTGAGATGCAGAAAGTACACAGGCAATAATGGGGATTGGTCCTCTGCTTGCCTTTTTAGGCACAGCAACCACAGTTTAGGCCCTCTAAGTTATTTAAACCATTCTCTCTCTACTACAATAGTTACATAGTTAGTCTGGCTGAAAAAAAGACAAAAGTCCATCTAGTTCAACCATAAAAGGGAAAAAAAAGAAAAATAAAGTTATAATCCTATACCTACTGTTGATCCAGAGGAAGGCAAAAAAACAAGCAAAGCATGATCTAATTTGCTCATGAAGGGGAAAAACGTATTTCCTGATCCTCCGAGAGGCAATCCAATATTCCCTGGATCAACTTTACCTATAAATATTAGGACCAATTATATTCTGTGTATCTAGGAAAGAATCCAGGTCTTTTGTAAAGCAATACACTGAGCTGGCCAGAACCAACTCTTGAGGGAGTCTGTTCCACATTTTCACAGCTCTTACTGTGAAGAAACCTTTCCGTATTTGGATTAAACTTTTTTTCTCCAGGTGTAAAGAGTGCCACCTTGTCCTTTGTGATGACCTCAGGGCGAATAGCTCTACACCGAGTTCACTATATGAACCACTGATGTATTTATACATGTTGATCATATCCCCCCTTAATCTCTTTTTATCAAGAGAGAATAAATTCAGTTCCTCTAGTCTTTCCTCATAGCTGAGCTCCTCCATGCCTCTTATCAGTTTGGTTGCCCTTCTCTGTACTTTTCCAGTTCCCCAATGTTCTTTTTGTGAATTGGTACCCAAAACTGAACTGCATATTCCAGATGAGGTGTTACTAATGATCTGTACAGGGTAAAATGATATCTCTCTCTCTGGAGTCTATACCTCTTTTAATACAAGAGAGGATTTTGCTCACTTTAGAAACAGGAGCTTGGCATTGCATGCCATTATTAAGCTTGAGATCTACCAGAACTCCCAGATCCTTCTCCACCATTGATTCCCCCAGTTGTACCCCCCTAGTATATATGATGC